CAGGAGGGAGTGCGTCCAGTGGCTGCTCCTTCACGACGCCATCCCCAACCTGACCAACAGGAAGGGCTCCACCCCACTGCACCTGGCCGTGGAGAAGCGGGTGCGGGGCGTCGTGGAGCTCCGGCTGGCCCGGAAGATCAGCGTCAACGCCACGGACGAGGACCAGTGGACGGCCCTGCACTTCGCGGCCCAGAACGGGGACGAGTGCAGCACGCGGCTGCTGCTGGAGAAGAACGCCTCCATCAACGAGGCCGACTGCGAGGGCCGCACGCCCATGCACGTGGCCTGCCAGCACGGCCAGGAGAGCGTCGTGCGCATCCTGCTGCGCCGGGGCGTCGACGTGGGCCTGCAGGGGAAGGACGCCTGGCTGCCGCTGCACTACGCCGCCTGGCAGGGCCACCTGCCCATCGTCAAGCTGCTGGCCAAGCAGCCGGGGGTGAGCGTGAACGCCCAGACGCTGGACGGGAGGACGCCCCTGCACCTGGCCGCCCAGCGCGGGCACTACCGCGTGGCCCGCATCCTCATCGACCTGCACTCAGACGTCAACCTCTGCAACCTGCTCGAGCAGACGCCCCTGCACGTCGCCGCGGAGACCGGGCACACGAGCACCGCCAGGCTGCTCTTGCACCGGGGGGCCAGCAGGGAGGCGGTGACCGCCGAGGGCTGCACTGCCCTGCACCTGGCTTCTCGCAACGGGCACCTGGCGACCGTCAAGCTGCTGGTGGAGGAGAAGGCCAATGTGCTGGCCCGGGGGCCCCGGAACCAGACGGCGCTGCACCTGGCTGCCGCCAGCGGGCACTCGGAGGTGGTGGAGGAGCTGGTCAGTGCCGACGTGCTCAACCTGTCCGACGAGCAGGGGCTCAGCGCCTTGCACCTGGCCGCCCGGGGCCGACACGCCAAGACGGTGGAGACGCTGCTCAAGCACGGGGCGCACGTCAACCTGCAGAGCCTCAAGTTCCAGGGCAGCCACAGCCCCGCCGCCACGCTGCTCCGGCGAAGCAAGACCTAGTCCGCTGGCCTCGGAGACCGGGCCCGTGCGGGGCTTCTGTGCCGTTGTCGTGTTCCGCGGTGGGGACAGGCTGATGCTGTGCGGGTCAGCACCCCTCACCTTGTTGATGGGCTGGCGGCACTTTGACCGAACAGGCCATCAAGAAGCGGCTGACTCTTGATTCGTGCCGGAGTCAGTGTGGGCGGGTTACCCTCCAAATGAAGGTGTTCGAAGGTGCTGATCCATCCGCCCATCAGTGTGCCGGTGTCAGAGGGACGATGGGTTGAAATCATTTCGTTGTACTCTTGCTCGGGAGGTCGGCCAGCCTCAGGATGAGGGGTGGGAGGAGCCGTGTCTTCCATCTTCATTTGCAGCGGCGGACAAGGCCACCTGTTTCAGAAGGCTTTCGTGGAATCCTTGTTTTATGGGACGTTGTCACTAGATAACACAGTGTCAGCTGTTGCTTTAAACCTTTGAAAAAATGTTCATGTCCTTAGGTGGTCCGGTCTGTGAGCAATGTGTGTAAAGTGATAAGGCTGGTGTCAAACAGCACCGTGGCCGTGCCCGCTCTGCCCGGCTCGGGATGTTCTCAGCCGGGCCTTGTGGCGACCACATGCCTCCCAGCAGCTGATTGCTCTCATTCATTTCCTGTTGCATAAAGTGTGTTTCGAACTCGAGAGCCAAATAGGCAAGAGTCATTTAAAAATTCACTTGTAACCTCAGTTTCGGACTCTAAACAGTATTACCTGGTTGGAGGGACCACCGAGCTCGTTGGCCCCTTTCCAGCTCTGGTGTTCGGGTGGTCATTTGTGGGGAGCGCTGCTGTTTTGGGGTCTCAGAGGGGCCTTCTGACCCTTTACAAACCTCTGAGCTGTGTGACCCCCAGGACAGCTCCAGGAGACCCCCGGGCCCCCGTGGCTATAAAGGATGTGGTTGTCTGGCCTCTCGGTCATTGTCCTGTGTGCGCCACGTGGTGCTCCCCCCCCCCCCAATACTGTTATTAGAGTGAATTTGCTGCAGGAGGTGGTCCTGTGTGCAAACGTGCCTGTGGTGTGTGATACAGAGATTGATATTAATATACCATGTATGTTAATGTGAATCTGGGGGCTGGATACTTCTTTTCTATGACAGGAACTATCCAGACTGCTCCGAGCTGGCTATGTTTTAATATGCCTCGTGCTTTTACTGTACTGTTTGTGCTCCTGTTGTCCTGATGTAAATAAAGCTAAGTTCTTTTCTGCTTTTGTTGAAGTCGGCGAGACTGCTTTCTCTTATCCACAAGCTCGAATAGTCTGATTTCTGAAAACCAGAGGTTGAGGCGGTCGTGTGTGTATGTGTGTGTGTGGTGGGGGGCGGGGGGGTTGGGGGGGTGCTCCTCCAGAAGGCCGTCCGTGGGCGGGCAGTGACTTAGCCAGGGACGTGCAGGGACGAAGGAGGGGAAGGGGGACAGGCTTCCTGCCTGAGACCTGGGCCCTGCCACCTGTGTGTGAACCAGCAGCGAGATGATCTAGTCTTGATAGAAGCAGCTCCCAACACCAACGTATTTACCTCCTTTTCAGTGTTTAGAATACGGGGTGGTCATTTGTTCACGTGATGTTCTGAACTAATTTTAAAGTCTAGGGCAGTTAGGAGACTAGTACGAAGAACTCGGTGTACCCTTCACCTAGATTCCCCATTCCTTTACATTTCAGCTCATTTGCTCCATCTGTCCACCCACCTACCCGTCCACCGCTCTTGCCTTGTAGACACTGTGCCCATGACCCCAAACACTTGTGTGTATTTCCTAAAAACAAGGACTTTCCACTATATAGCCATTGTGTACCCATCAAAGTCAAGAAATTAACATAGAGATCATACTACCATCTAATCCACAAATCCATTTTAAATTTTTACTGTCTCAAAATGTCCTTTATAGGAAAAAACCACCACCAGCAGTAACAGCTGACTTCCGTTCCTCCTCCCTGGCCCAGGACCTACTGTGCGCAGTCCAGGAGGCTCAGCCCCCTGTCCCTCAGTCTTCTCTTTCATACCTTGCCTTTTTTGTAGGAAGTACTGGCAGTTATCTTGCAGAATGGCTTTGAGATGTGTCTTAATTCTGCCCAGGATTTGATTGAGGTTATGTACTTGGGGCAGAAATACCACAGACATGATGATGTATAAAAATACAGCTCTCCCTTCTCCCCTTTATTTATTTTATGTACCTGGTTTTACAGTGCTTCACAGAAGGGAAGTGTCATGCCCCTCCCGTGTTGCCTTGGGCTGGGCCCAGGAGGGACGCGCTGAGGGGATGCCGAGGGACCCGAGGCCCCCGAGCAGCAGCACAGCAAGTGTGAGACTCACTTTTATTTCCTCCCAGGAAAAAAGAGACAGTTTTGACCTAAAGTGGAAGGTCTAAGAGAAAAGCTCATGCAGTCCTTAAACCAGAAGCTGCTCTTGAACGAAAAAGCACTGGAGTAGGGGTCCGAGGGAAAAGAGGAAAGGCAAATTCCCTGGGAAGTCAAGAAAAACGTGACGTGGTTAACCTGTTGCTGTCTCCAGGCAGAAAGGGAAACGAGGGAGGTGCCCAGTGGAAGACGGGGACCTTAAGCCAAATGGCAGCGCTTTAGTGAGAAAATGGTCATAGGTCTTGATTCCGGGCACGAAAGGCTTTTATTTAAAAAGAAAGAAAAGCAAACCTGTCTTATTTCACAGGCCGGGGAACTTACCTGGCGCACTGCTGGGCACCAGGCTGGCGCAGCCCGTGTGAGGGACACTGGCCGAGGCCACCCGCGGGCAGGGGGATTCCTTGCACACGGGGGGATGGGCCATGGTGCACACATGTTGAGGATGATGGGGACCAACCTTGTGGCAGAGGAAGTAGACACAATATGGATCGGCTAGAACCACCCTGGGGAGTTAGACGGTAATTGGAGGCATCGGTGTGAAACCGTGGTCCTTAATAAAAGGTGGACGTGTACATCCTTGCGGGTTACACACGCTTCCTGGGTCTGCCTGCTGGGAGGGCCTGTGAGCAGTGAGGCCCCGGGAACAAGGTGCACGCCCAACGCCAGGGCCTCGCGGCTCCGGGTCCTGCCAAGCGTAGGGATTGGGGGCCCGTGCTTCCGAAGGCCCCGTGGCGCAGAGGGCAGCGCCAGCCAGCCTCCCGGGCTCTCGCCTTGACACTGGGCAGCACGTGACCTGTGTACTCGGGCTTCCTCGGCAAACAGCTGGTTCACCATGTGGCCGCTCCTCTCCCAGCGCCCATGAGCCAAGAGTTGCCATCTTCTTCCAGGTCGCTGAACCCGATCCCGGTTCTCTGGGCCTCGGTTTGCCACGGGCATTTCGCGGTGCCAAGCATTAGCTACTTACTTCAGAGATGTGGGTGTGGTGGGCGGTGTCACCGAGGCCGCCCGCTGGCACCGCAGCAGGAAGGGAGCAGGCATTTCAGGAGTTGCCATCAGAGGAGAGAATCCTTGGCCCTGAATTTCCATTATGGCGGCTGGTTCTGGAGGCCTTGGACCCCTCGTCCTGGACAGTTTCCTCTCTGCTCACTCTTTCTCCCTGCCCTCCCTCCACTTCCCTCTCTTCTCTCTCTTCCCTGTCCCTCCTCCCTAACTGATTAGCTACCATGTGAATTCAGGGGTGCAGCGCTCCATCACCCAAGGCCCTGTGCCCACATTCTCAGGTGCCAGAGCTCCAGGCCTTCTGCTGTATCTGTGCACCAGCGTGTGGCCAGGGGGACAGTGGCCCAGGGGGACTGAGGAGGGACATTAGATGAGCAGCCTACCCCACGCAGTGATCCTAGTCACTGCTTTAGGCCCCGTGGCAAAAAAATGCAGTGTCAGGAACGGCTGGATCTAGGCGCTCACACGTCACTTGTCCTCGGTTTGGTTTCACTAATGGACAGACCCCTAGCGAAATGACCTTGACATCTCCAAGCTTACATAGCCTCAGCTGGAGGATCCCGGCAGAAAGAGAGCTTCCCCCCTTCCAAAACCCCAAATTAAACATAATTCATAAATTCTTAGACTCTTTTCTTCCCGTGTTTTTATAGCTCTGAGAGTCATGGCTTCTTTCCATCGAAATGGGCATCATTTTTTCGCTCTTGAAGGTGCTTTAGGTAACAATGCATTTCATAACTTGCGGCATCTCTGAACTGATGCAGTGTGGTTGCCTGTCTGCCTGGCTGTGCCCATTCCCAAACCATTTGTGGGAAGAGAATGTTCTGGTCGGCCAGGCTGGGGAGGCCAGTGGGTTCACCCCTGAATGTGGAGGTGATAGTTTCCTAAAGGAACATCGGGATGCTCTTCCTGGAAAGGAGAAGGGGTTGGGAGGTGAGAGCCACAGCTGTTCTCACACGGGCCCCTCGGTGGAGCGCCCACAGGGGAGCTGGGAAACGGAAACAACCTGGAGGTGTGTGTGGACCGTGTGTCCGCATTTTCTCAGGAAAGCGGACAGAGGGCCCCTCTTGGACCTGGGAGAGGGCGGTGGGTGTTCTGGAAGGACCACCTGTCAGCCCAGCGTGGAGACGTTGCCCAGTGGCTTTGGAGACACAGTGGGTGGGTCAGAGCGAGAATCTGGGGCCCCCGGCTAGAGGCAGCAGCACTGGGAGAACCTGCTCCAGGCTCAGGGAAGCCCCAGACCAACTCTGGAGCAAGGAAGAGAGTCATGTCCAGTCACTGAGTGGCCCCTGAAAGAGGAGGCACAGAGCCAGGGTCCCCCACAAATGCAGGGCCCCCCCCAGACCCAGGGTCCTCCATAGAGACAGTGTCCCCCACAGACCCAGGGTCTCCCACAGATCCAGGGTCCTCCATAGAGACAGGGTCCCCACAGAGATAGGGTCCCCACAGACCCAGGGTCCCCCACAGATCCAGGGTCCTCCATAGAGACAGGGTCCCCATAGAGACAGGGTCCCCACAGAGACAGGGTCCCCACAGAGTCAGGGTCTCCACAGAGCCAGGGTCCCCACAGACCCAGGGTCCCCCACAGACCCAGGGTCCCCCACAGACCAGGGTCCCCCACAGAGCCAGGGTCCCCCACAGAGCCAGGGTCCCCACAGACCCAGGGTCCCCCACAGACCCAGGGTCCCCCACAGATCCAGGATCCTGCACAGAGCTAGGGTCCCTACCAAGGAGAGTGGGGGCACCTGTGTGTTCCTAAGCCACAAGGAACCTAAGAAAGCACCCACTTAATCGAAGGGGATGAAGCCACCGATAATGGGAAACGCTTGCTGAACAGCCCCCTCGCTGGGTGGCCACTCAGCTGACTCCGGCAGGGGAACATTCTGGAGCTGCCCAGGTACCTGGGATGAAGAAAGAGGCCAGCAAAGAGGACGTTGTCTCCCTGGCCAATGGAAAGTGCTAGAATCTTTAGTACAGATGTTTGCACTGCAAGAAGCAAGCGCAACGGTTAAAGAATGTGCTCAGACGCTGGGTTCAGTGGGGAAAACTGCAGTGGGAGGTAAGCAGCCTGCAGGCCTGGAGGCCTCTGCTTCTGGTCCCCACGCGGGACTGTGCGTGGTCAAGGCTGAGGACACAGGGCGTGGAGCTCTTCAGGAAGACACTCCCCAGGAGTGTGGGCCCAGGTGCTGGGGGACCTGCCTTTTCTATAACAAGATCTGGGTTGGATGCTGTCGCTTGGAACAGAGCCTGGAGGTTTCAACAAGCCTCTGACCCTCTGTGGCAACTACAAAGAATTCGGTCTCCCTGCCGTGTCTTCCCTGCTTGAGTCACTGCCTGGACCCAGCGGTGCCACCGGAAAAACGAGCCCCGGGTGAGGTGGCACCTGGTGGGACTGTGAGGAGGCCGGTGGGGAGGTGGCCTGGCTGGAGAAAGCTGACTGGGGGCGGCAGCTACCTCCTCCCGGTGGCCACGGGACCGCCTGTCTCGCTGTCTCCTGGGAGGCGGAGGGGCATGAGCTGTGCAGTGAGCGCCCGGGAATGAAGGGAGGCCCGCCCGATGCCCGGGAGGAGGATTCTCTGCCTCTCTGTGCCTCCCAGGAACACAGCCCACAGAGGACGCAAGACTCGCCATGGGAGGGCTGCCCGGGGGCACGGGGAAGGGCACAGAGTAACGTGAGACCCCATCTTGGCCTTTGGGGGGAAGGGAGAGGCAAATGATGTTGGATGACGCCGGAAGACCCCGTGACGTGCCCAACACGAGGTGCCCAACCAGGAGGCGTGGTCTGAGCTGGTCTTTCCAGGGTGGACAGGAAGGGTCAATAGAGGAACAAGGCCCTTCATCCTGAAGGAAGGATCTGGGGAGGGAGGAGAG